CAGGTTACAATGGTACCCAGGGCCCTCCTGGACCTCCCGGACCACCTGGCTCTGGCAATCTCACACTTTGTTCTTACGTAAGCGGACAAAGCGCTGGCAAAAGCCCGGATCGGTATGCTACCGAGATCGTCGACATAACTGAACCAAATGTAGGTTTAAAAGTAACTATAGTAAAGTCTGGCTTTTTCCCTATGCAACATGAAATTATGTAATATGATAAATAAATTATTTTGTCATTAACTTCATCGACTATTTTATATGTTGCAGGGTAAGAAGTTTCTTGGTGTTAACTGTGACTCGAATGACGCAAAATTTGTGACACTTTCAAGCAGCATATCTGGTGGAAAAAGAACATACACGTGTACATGCAAGGATAGTCTGTCTAGTGGGAACGCCAATATGTATTGTTACATTCACTATTGGGAGTGTCCAACTTAAAACAAGGGGGGTCACCCGTTGTCAACTTTAACATCAGCATCAATTAAAGATGAAACGTGGGTTTCAGAATTGATCGAGAGACTAACAATTGAACAGCATTACGACTGTGGCACCTTATTTGTACAGTGATAACCCAGTTACACATACGCACATTTTTCAAAACTATTTACACAGAAATGGCAGTCATTAGTGGGCGTAACCGTTTCATTAAAATACTTTTCGTCGTCGTTATATATAGTGTCATCACTACACCGTATTAATGTTTCAAACCATTCGTAAGGAGTGCATAAAACGCACACATTAGGTCATTTTGGTATCTTCAGGATTGGACTAACGCAACCTTGAAATGGAAGCTGGTTACCTGTAAACATCGTCAAAAACATTATCATATCATTTGCATTTGAAAATATTTTCTACAGGAATAATAAATGCCTGTTCAAAGCAATCCATATGGGTAAAGCAGTTAGGGGACTATGGCGGACCATAAATCGAGAAGTAGATTATCATTAGCTCTCCGGGAACAAAGTCCTATTCCGCGAAGTCCGTCTTTTGTATTAAGTGAGTTTGGATTAGATACTATTCTATAATTTTAAGGCAATGTAAATAAATGCTACTACCACAGCGATAGAAAAACGTTTTTCGCTTATTGAATTTACTTATTTAAGTGATAGAGCACTTTTTAACTAAATGCTAGTGTGCATGTAACTGGTATCATTGCACCTAATGCATATACAAATTGACAGAGTCAGTTATAACCTCCACTAAACATATTACAACAATTGACATTAACACATCAACCGGCTCTTACGGATAGAATAAGGTCAATTTCGTGCTTAAGGTTGTGGAACTGGTTAGAATATGAAAAGAAAAGCGAGACTGTAACGAAAAATCTGCCTGCGTTTGTGAAAAAGGGCGTCAGAAGGATCGTGACTAAAGCACCACACGAGTACCTACGAGTAACATACGAGTACATACGAGTAACATACGAGTAACATACGAGTACACACGAGTAATATACGAGTACATACCAATAACATACGACTACATACGAGTAACATATGAGTAACATACGAGTACATACAAACACATAAGGTAATACACAGGTTATATACGAATACACTGGTTACATACGAATACCTAGGAGCAACATACGATGGCAGG